GAGGAGTCCTTGTTAAATGAGCTGGCATCTAACATCCTGGACGAGACAGACTCGGAAAGCAAAAACGTGGAACAGGTCAGACAGATTTTCTCACCCTAACATTTGATTCGCCCTTCAAGCACACATGCACTTACAAATCGCCATAACATTTGCATTTAAAGAAGGGCCTTCGTCAACTTTTTCATAATTCGAACTACAGTTACAATCCAACGACGACCTTCCTTACTAGACGTGGTAACCTTCGTACTAAACTGATGACAGTCGTACTGCTCTGTGAATTAGTAGAATGAGTTGTTTACTCGCGCACCTTATTTCTACCATAGAATCGCTGCGTTGAAAATTACAGCCACGGCAAATACCGTGATGTCACAGGAACCACACCTTCACATATGGGACTTACTGACATCCTGCTTTGCATCTCCGCTGGTCTTCTTGTCATCCTCTTGGCGGCAGGAGCACTGTGGAATGCTGTCTTAAAAACTAAACATGCAAGAGTGTTTCCAGGTTTGTATTTTCTCGCGGTACCCCTTGTTTAAGAAAATTTGGTAACCCACTGAGCTAAATCTTTTTAGTAGCCTCGGAGCAGGCTACCAAACGCCGCGACACGAGCAAACCAGGAGCTGCAAGAGACGAGAGATCCCCCTCCCCCGATATTAAGCACTCCCCTCCCTCTCTCCCCCAATACTAATCCGACCTAAAAAAATCCTTTTGGACAAATGAAAAGCCATGATTTGTAGTTGGGATTTTGTGACTGATTTTTAATTTCAACAATATTTAAATACATGGGAATTCAATTTTTGGAATCACCTCAGGGAAAGGAAATCGTTTCTAATATTCAGAAGGTTCTTAGAATCGAGGGTAAATTTGTCTTATCTTTTTTGGCAAGTGGAGCAGACAATTACTTTAAATAATCGCGACGTTGGAGAACTGTAGGGCTCAAAACGCCGGGCCTCCACGTTCATAAAAGTAGAGGCTAATTTAAGACAAGAACTGGGATGATGTCTTTACCTTTCAGAAGACAATGTTGACATCGAGAAAGCTAGCAGTGAGTATACACAAGAACTGCAAGCGACGACTTTCCCTCTGAACTAATGCTGCTGAACGAGAATAATCTGCAACAGCTGTTCCATCAATATCAAGCTTCCTACAGGACCTGCAGTAGTTCCTATAACTAATTGTGTTTTAGCAGCAGCTAATTAACGATGAGCCATCATTTGGCAATCACGCAGGTAATTAAAGATAAGTCGCGCAGTCACGCAACGCCTTTTGCAATGAAAGGAAATTTGCGTGACGATATAAATTACGTATAAGAAGAAGACCAGTTACTAGATGGTAGGCTAATAGAACCTCATCTGGGAACACTGGGTTATTCAGGAGCGCGCTCATGTAGACCGGAACTGACCTATTTCGCAGGTAAAGAAGCCTAAAAGTAGACCGGTCCGTAAAAATGGCGTGACATAGGCTTAGTATGGGATCTGCACGCTCCTAGTGATGGGCTCCTGATTTTTCTGTTTTCCTCGTTTAAGACACTGTTTATTTCCGATTTATCAAAACCCTGACGTAGTAGATCTAGGCCACCTCGAATTTTTTTTTTTTTC